GGAGCGTCACATTTTTTGAGCTCTCACGTTTCTACTAAATAAAGGCGGAAAAAATCGATACTTGAACATCGAATCATGTATCAGTAGTTGCAGAACTTTATCAAGAAAGAATACGGAGGTGTAAATTTTAAGACGATAATATACATCGTTTATAAATAATTAACAATTGATTGAATTTATCACGTCTTACGAGTAACTGACAGCTATAGGAAGCATGCCTGCAGTTTTGCATCTATTTCAAGTGCCTTCTTCAGTGAAATTCTTTATGAAAGTCATATTCAAATGTGCAGTGATCAACGAAGATCTTGCTGATAAAGGTTTTGTTTTGTTCCTGTACGGCTTTCAGGATTTTAATTATTCATTTTAATTTAAACTTTACTTAGGCAAGTCTCTGCAGAAAGTATACGACCCCTGTAAAGAACGTTTTCACCCCTCGCCTCTTTTGTGCTTGCAGAAGTTGGGGGTCTGTTGAGAATCGTTAAAAATCCCCTCATATTCTCGACCTTGAGAGGATTCAAGTTTCAGCGGAAAGGATAACGGCATTTCCTAGATGTGAGATAACTACCCAACTTGTATTGGTACTGTCTGGATTATACACATTCAAGGGAGGACTGCAAAAGGTAGACTTTTCTGAATTTAATTACCCTGAAGTATTCAAGTAGTTCAGTTCACAACGTGAATTATTTTATTCTAAATGCAGACTCTAATAACAAACAACATTCTAACGCAATTATCTAATCCTCAGCGTTGTTATAAATCTTTCTGTAATAGTAGGTACTGTTAAAATTCTGCTGCTGACTTATTAATCTAATATTGGTTTTATCAAGAGTGCATTAATTTATCTTAATGATTCTTAATTAATGTGCAATAATTTATCTTATATAATTTTACTTTGCTTATTATAACAACTAATAATATTTTTATTATTTTCATTATTGTTAATATATACTATATATTAATGAATGCATAATATCAATTGGTTTTGAATTTATCGTGATTAACTGTCTACTAATTTGTTTAATCTTTTTTTTTTTTTTTTTACTACAATTTTATTGTTTACCTGTAGTAGTAATTTGCTTATTGTATGTTGCTTATTATATGTATTGTTTGTTGTTGCTATTTGTTATTCCAATTTTGTAATGTTATAGTGCGCTGCGGACGGTTTTTTTCCCCTCTTCGTTATTAGTATTCATCTTCCTGCCATTAGCGCTAGTTCTTGCAAGCATATGAAGTTTTCTCACCTAAACCTAAAATACCGTAACTTCAGTGCTATATACTGTTCTTACATTTGCTTTTGTGTTCCTCCGACTTTCTTCATCGAACGAGTGAGCACTCTGTGCAAGGATTAGAACTTTAACAGGTTGAGAGATCCTCTGAGTTTTTTATTTTTAAGCTAATATTACTCTTCATCGAACGAGTGAGCACTCTGTGCTAGGATTAGAAACTTTAACAGGTTGAGAGGTTGAGAGACTCACTTAGTATTTTATTCTTAAGTTAATATTACTATTTCATGTTAAATGGGGTCAAGAGAAACCTCCCCAACTAGATCAATTAGGACTACCAGCTCGAGGTGTGTGAGCCCAGTGAGATTAGACCATCCATCTTCCAGATTAGATAGGATTAACACTTTGACTCAAGTCACTTTTAGCTTTTAGCAGAGTACAGAGGCCGTTCTAAACTAAAAATCGCAGACCACGAAGCGGTGTCCAATTATATCACAGAAATACTGGCTATAGCTTCTAATCAGGAAATCTTAATTGCACGACAGGAGGGACAAATACTTCAACTAGAACGACAACTTAATGCCAGTCTCTTCTCTCAAGCAAGAGAGCAGCACAGTTTTAAGGTCCCGGAGCTACAGGAAAACCATCCTACAGGACAACAAGACCGCCGGAGTTACGCAACTGTGGCCGGTAAGATTCAGAAAAAGAAGCCCCCTTCCATACAAGCAACAGCCATTCCCAAGCAAAAGCCTTCTGAGCACGTTTTACTTATCAAGGGGAAAGATTCAGAGCGCACGCCAGCCAGATAGTGTGAAAGCGCAAGTTCTAAACAACATCAAACCTCATAAGCTTGGCATCAACATACAGCAAGTGAGGGCCACGAGATCTAAAGAACTCTTGATTAGGTGCAAAGAAGCCACACACCTGCACAAACTTAAAAAAGTAATTGAAGAGTCTAGCGTGCTGACAGAGCACTTAGAACTAAGGATTCCCCCGTCCGTTTAGGAGCTCTCTTATAGTATTTGGGGTACCCTGTGACATAACGGCAGACGAAATAAAAAGCAGCATTTGAAGATCTTTTGCCAGAAACGCGGTCGCCAGTTATCTTTCCAAAAGGCCCGAGACCTAGGGACGAAACTACCTGTAATTGGATACTGGAAGTGACAGCAGATTTCAAAGACAGGCTTCTCGACCACAAGCGGGTTTATATTGGATTTACTTCGTGTCCGTTTAGAGAATACGTAAAAATAACCCGCTGCTACAACTGCCAAACCTTTGGCCACCTAAGTAAAAACTGCAGATTCCCACCAGCCTGTACTAAGTGCGGAAAAGGTCATTTAACACAAACACAAGAGTGTACGGCAGAAGAGGAAAATTGTGCGAATTGTGTTCACTCCAATACGCATAATAGCACAGACTTTGACGCAAGTCATCCGGCAAGTTCTTCAAAATGTCCTGTGTACCGACAGGAACTGCAACGAGGCAGCAAAACACAGCAACAACGGATGTAGGCAGTAACCAATTCCGCCAACAAGTCACAGGACTCAGGTTTCTCCAAGCAAACCTGCAGAGAGCTAGATCTGCAACACTTAACTTCATGGATATTATGACAAAGGAAAATGCCGGATATCGCCCTCATACAAGAGCCGTACTTAGCACATAGTCATCTGCCAGGAATTCCACCCACAAGCAAGACGTTCCAGTCAACCTCTCAACAGGCTGTCATAATTTATAATGGTCCGCTATCTCCCCTCCTTACATCTCAGACGCAACACTCAGTTACCATTAAACTAGAGACAACTACGGGACACCTTCAAATTACTAATGTGTACTTTCCACCAAGTGAGGAATTAGATCCACTATTAATAGAAATCAGCACTGTCGTCAGAAAAGGGAACAACCAAATCTTATTAGCAGGTGATTTCAATGCTTCAAGTCCCTTATGGGGGGCGCGAGTGGAAAACGTAAGAGGCAAAATGGTTTTAGAATATGCAATGACAAACAGATTAAGCATCATAAACACGTCAGACTCACCGCCCACCTTTCGCACTATAAGGGCGGAAGGTTGGCCGGATTTAACCATGGTTTCTTCCCAATTAGCAAATCAAATGTCGGAATGGCATGTTATGGACATTCCCTCTCTGAGCGACCACAGAATAATCAGCTATCTAATAGGCGCTCAGTTAACTTATACTCTAAAACAGAGGTTCCTTAATCTGCTTCGTCCTTATGTAGGTCAATTGATTTTCAACTTCCAAGCAAGCAACACCGTAGACGGACTGGATGATGCCTACAGGCATTTAATTGGAACTCTAACAAGTGCAGCAAAACAAACGTATAAGAAAAAAACACCCAGCCAGAAGAAAGAACTTTCCTGGTGGAATGACAAACTAACGGCAAACAGAAGAAGCAGAGTTCGGGCGCTCAGAAGACTGGCACAGTCAGAAACAGATTCCATACAAAGGGACCAAAAAATGCAGACGTACAAGAAGGCACTTGCGCAATACAAACTACAGATAATAAAGGCCAAATCCGACTCCTGGCAGGAACACTGTAGTAGAATACCGGAAATTTTTGGGAAAATACAAAAAATCGCCGCAGGTAAGGTCTTTAGACCGACTCAATTGACTGCGAATGTGGCCCCTGACGCACCAAATACAAGAAATATTCTTTCGGTAATACTGAAAACGGTTTTTTTTTTTCCTTCAGATGATCCCGCCAATGACTCAGAAAACGCATACATTAATAAGGACGCAATTTCAGGAAAAATTCTGGTCTTCCATAAATGGAGACTATCTCCCACCAACAATAGAGGAGGTAGACCTTAATCATAAATGGTTTGGCAAGGAAAAAGGCACCGGGGCCGGATGGCCTAGACTAATACAATATAATACTCAAGGCATTGCATAATGAGTTTCCAGAGCTGATCCACTCAGTCTGCAAAGCATGCTGGAAAGTAGGACACTTTCCGAAAGATATGAAGCTGGCAGAGATCGCTCTGTTTCACAAAAAGGGGAAAGATCCCTCGGATCCGACCTCCTACCGCCCGGTAAGTCTCCTTCCCACAATTAGCAAAGTTCTAGAAAAAAATCATTCTAATGAGGCTAAATTATTTCCTGAATAAAAGTTCAGTAATTAATAAAAAACAGTATGGCTTCCGTGAAGGAATATCTACGGAACAGGCAGTAGCAGATCTCCTGAAAGTGCTGAAAAAGAACAGAGAGGAAGACAATCACTCAATAGTAATATCTATTGACATAAAGGGAGCCTTCGATAATGTCTGATGGGACAAATATCTGGTGGGTTGTCTGATGTAACAAAAGAATTAGATTCAATCAACTGCCCAATTCAGATCTTAAAGTTGATAAGGAGCTACCTTGAAGACAGACAAGTTCAAGTAACTACAAACGATGGAATAATCCAGCATAAACTGGAGAAAGGCTGTCCACAGGGTTCCTGTCTAGGGCCAACCCTGTGGAACCTAGTAGCTAATTCAGCGTTCCAAATTTTTGAGATGGAGAGCGAAATACATCTGCAAGCTTTTGCGGATGATTTCCTTCTAGTAACTTCGGGAAGAAAGAATATCGAGAAAATTACACAAAATGCACTAAATAGGTTCTTAGAGTGGGCACAAACACATAAACTTACGATCTCAGCAGAAAAAACTACCATGCTATTTATAGGGCGTAAAAGAGTAATGAAAAGAAATCCTACCATTAGACTCAACGGTAGCTCAATAAAATGCTCTTCGCTCTTCAAACATAAAATACCTAGGATTTACCCTCAACAATAATCTCTCTTGGATTCCCCACTTAAAAAACTCAGGAAAAGATGTATCGCACTCACAAACACAATGCTACGCACAACAGGACTGCAGTGGGGAGCACCACCATGGGTGCTTAAGAGGTGGTACCAAGCAATAACAGAAAGAATTGTTCTCTACGGCGTAGCGATCTGGGGAAATAAAATACACTCAACGTAAGCATGCGTAGATTACTTCCTGTCCATGCAAAGGCTGCAACTCTTGCTCATCTGCAAGGGCTACAGAACTACTTCAACGACAGCTCTGCAGGTTCTAGCAGGAATTCCTCCGCTAGACCTGCAAGCGGAAAGGGAGTCGTTAATTGCAAGAGTGTTAAGGCTAGGTGAGGATGGAGTTCTATGGGAACAACACCACTTTGCTGAAGACTTTGAAAAACACAAGCCAGTGACGCAAGGACATCCGGCTGAAACACATCTAAAAAAGTGTATTCTAGGCCACTATGTGACACCAAAAGATAACCACACAGCTATATTTACAGATGGCTCAAAAACCGAGACGGGTACTGGCAGTGCCTTCTGCGTTCTAAAAGGTAATACAGCTGTGTATAAATGGAAAAGAAGACTTGGCAGTAGGAACTCAGTATTCCAAGCTGAGCTGGCAGCACTTAAAGCAGCAATTAATTATGTGAAGAGGAACAGACTTATCCACATTACTATTACAGTGATTCTGCCTCTAGCCTTGACGCAATCAAAGGTTACAAAAAGTAGAAGCCAGTATGTCCAAGAAATTAGAAAAATCCTCCTCAGTCTTCTACCATCAGAAAGGCCATGCCTCACGTGGGTTCCGGCTCACGTGGGCATTAAAGGCAATGAGGAAGCAGACACCCTGGCAAAAGAAGCGGCAAAGGAGGTCTCAAGAACAGAACTGCCAGATAAATTACCTAGGTCTCATCTCAAAAAGATCACTCTAAAACAACTGATAGACAGATGGCAAGCCAGATGGGACACAGCAGATACAGGAAGGAGAACGTATATGTTCTTCCCAAAAACAACGCTAGAGTTAAACTGCAATAGTGGTAGTCAGACACAGTTTTATACAGGTCATGGCCCATTCCTGACCTATCTGCATAGATTCAGCCTGAGTGACACAGAAAGATGTCAATGTGGAGAGGTGGGGGATCCAGACCACTACGTCTTCCACTGCACAAACACGGCACAGTACCATATAAGAAAGCCAAGTCAAGCTTACTGGCCACAATGGGCGGCAAATATGAGAACAAACAAAACAGCAAATAAAAATCTACAAGCGGTAATCAGCCATTGTCAGAGAAAGTATTCTCTAATACGACGATAAGTGTCCCCAAATAGAAATAATCAAGTGCTTAGCGCTATATTCTTTAAAATGTTTACTTTTGCAATTAATGTACAGGTCTAGGACTCGCAAGACCAGATCGTGCCAGTAAAATCTTCAACAGCAATGAGCTATTCCTACACTTACTAATCGTGTATTTAAATTACAAGTTTGTGATAAATAGGTTCAAGAAGGGCAAGGTCAACTTATGTTATCACCTCAAGTTTATGAATGATATTATTATTGGTATGGCATTTTTGCCTTCTTAATTTTAATAAATATTCAACTTTTTATGCAAATTTTAGGGAAGAAATATCTGTATTTATGTGATCAATTGCATGTTTGAATCTCTTCCCTAGTGATCAGCATTACGTGCTTAATTATGTTTTGTATAAATTATGTGCATGTTCTAAGGTGATAAAACTAACTATGGAATTAATGTAGGTAAGTTTCTCTTTGTAATTATGTATCAGCATTATGTATTCAAGTGTTTGGAATCAGATATCAGTTTTACTGAGTATGGTGCTGTACTTTTCTGTTTATGTTCACTTTAAAGTACTCAAGTCTGTATTTATTCCTTCTCTGCATGTACTATGAAGGTCAGTTCGTACTTGGCTAGGATTTTTAGACTACATAGCAGTACTTAATGATCAGTTTTATGTATTATGCTTATCAGTTTTTTTTTAGTTTTCATGTATTATGTATGCATTTTTAAGTGTTATGTATGCAGGCATTAGGGATCAGCTTTCTGTATTTCTGTACTCAGTATCATGTTAGTTTTTCACTTTAATATTCAGTTTTGTACTTATGTATGTATTATCCTGTCTGCAAGTACTACGAAAGAAAATGTAGGTGAATGGTTCAATTTGTAAAACAACTACTACAGTTTAAGTATGCGCAAAGAACTAAATTATGCAGGAATTTGTTATCTTAGTGATAACAGGTACACATCTTTTAAATGTTCTTACATAAGAGTCAGGCACATGGAAAGTAAACTGCGTTAAATTATGTTTGGGCGCTAGGATTTTTTTTAATCATCTTTTAATCTCTTATTTATTTATTTATTTTTATTTATTTTATTTTTTAAAGTTTACTATGTGCAATAATTTAATAGGTTACAACTTTCCTCCATGCAGGACCAACGATTTCACAGAAGCCCCATAAAGATATGACAGTTGTGTCAGGATAAGCACCCGCATGTAGACATTTAGCAAGTCCAGAAAATCCACGGCAGTTAATTTTTCAGGCAGAGTCCTCTATCTTTACTTTATCTAACACAAGTTTCTGTCTATTCTAACAGCGATTCTTAACAGTCTTTTGATTGCTTCTTTGCTTAATTTTAAGTAGTTCCTAACAGGATACTCTTTCCCCGTACAACAATATCCAAGCTTATATGTAGACTTTATGAGGCTCTTAGCCGTCTATTCGGCTGCATTCCCGGAGCAGGATGGAGCAGAGAGTAGATGGTTTCTGCCAGGAAGATAACACACTGTGAGGCTAAGACCAGGTCAGTGGTCTTCCTTGGTGGCGCTCACTCACTACGAAGTCACGGCCAGTATTTGACGCTTCGTCTAAAGCAAAGTGTTCTCCGAGTCTCAACGATTGTCTTGAAAAAGGATTAAACCTTATCGCATTTATTTCTACAATCTTAAATAGATTTCGCCAAGAAAAAATAAGGGTGATTTCTGATATTCGTAAGGCCTTTCTACAAATTGACCTGAATTCTAGTGACAGAAACTTCCTCCGATTTCTCTGGATAAAGGGTGAAGATGGCTTGAAGCATTTTTCGTCATTGTCGAGGTCGTATTTTAGTGTAACCAGTAGTCCATTTTTACTTGGAGCTGTTATTCAATATCATTTAAAATTCAATTTTAGAGAAAAATGATGGAGATGCAAAATATCCTTCCGACATTATTGTTAAATTGATGAATAGTTTTCTATGTTGATAACTGTGTAACAAGTGTCGGAAGTGAAAGATGAATTACAGCGCTTCATGAAAGTATCTTCTTCAAGATGTTATGGCACAACGTGAAAATTTGAATTACGGGGTTGGAGAATATACCGACTGTAGTTTAGAAACAGAAACTATTGCGAATGTATTAGGTTTGTTATGGGAAAGACAAGCGGCGATACTCTTCAAATAAATGTTGGCTAATTTGCAAAATCTTTGCTTCGAGAAAGTCACGAAAAGAATGTATTTTGGCAATAGCCCATAAAGTATTTGATCCCATCGGTATAAACATGTCCAGTCTTTATATTACCTAAGATGGTTATTACAGCGTACATGGGAAACAAAAGTAAAATGGGACGAAGAAGTTAACACTGAAATTAAAAGTAAATTTTTGAAATGGGTAAAAGACATTTTTCTTTTGAAAAACATTAAAATTCCAAGGTGGATACGATATCAGCCAAAGCAGTGTTCAAAACATGTTTTCTGTGACGCCAGTCAAGCAGCGTATGCGGCTGTAGTTTTTCATTCGTGTGGAAGAAACTGAATCAGTTAAAGTCCAGTTACTTCAGGCTAGGTCTAGAGTTTCCCCTTGTGGTAAAAAGAAAACGACTATTGTAAGATTTAGAATTGTTAGCAGCAACTATTGCATCTCGTCCTTGCTGCAGTACGTTCTAAAAGACTTTGATGCCAGAAGTACATTTTTCTGGACAGATTCAACTGCTGTCCTTGCATGGATAAAAAGGGAAGAACCATGGGGGACGTTTGTACAAAATAGAGTACAGGAAATAAGGCTTTTGACACGTGTGGAGGACTGGAGGCATACACCTGGTCACCTTAACCCTGCAAATCTTCCAAGTAGAGGGTGTTCAGTTCGCCAACTCTCCCGGTCAAAATGGTGGGGTGGTTGGTGGGAACGTCTTATCGGAATGATGATGCAAGTCCTTAAAGTTTCTTAAACATGCTTGTTTAAATTATGAAGAAATGTACACGATACTGTGTGACTGTGAAGCGATTCTTAATGACCGACCGTTGACAGTAATTCCTTCCGATCCTGAATTTAAAGCTTTAACTCCTGCCGACTTTTTAAAAGAAATTAGAACTAGTAGTTTGCGGGATATAAAATACGGTTTTAAATCAAGTAATTTACAAAATAGATTTCAGTATATTCAAACTGTACGAGAAGCATTTAAAAATAGATTTCGTAAAAAATATTTGAGAATTCTCAAGCTTTCGCATAAAAGAGCTGAAAAGAAAGTTACTATTAAATTGGATGATATTGTTTTGATCGGTAGTAGTGACAAGACTTTTTTGGCAACTTGGTCGTGTCGTAGAACTACTTCCAGGACCTGATGGAATAAATCGGCTTGCAAGAGTAAAGACCCGAAATGGAATTTTGCTTAGAGCAGTTCGAACTTCTGTATCCTTTTAGAGGTAACGCAAGATGATGTACCCCGTGAAGCTGCAGAATGAAAAACAAGATTTTAACTTGTTTTTCATTCGTTGCAGCAAGTCTGAACTTAAACTCAGTGTAGATGATAAATCTGTGAAACCTGTAACACGATCTGGTAGAACTGTAACTCCGCCAGACAGACTGGCATATATTAAGGCTCTTTAGCATTGTTTTACTTTGTTGTGAAAGTTCACTTTTTTTTCTTTTTCTTTTTTTTTTTTTAGGTGGAAGGATGTTAAATATTTGCATAATCGCCTGTAGTAACGGCAACCGCCGTCAATAAAAGGAGGTGCTTTCCTTGGTAGCGGCGCAGTTCATTTTAGTTCGAGCCAGAGCAGACCTGCCCGGGGGAGAAGCCAGGGGATGATAGATTCCGGTTCCCGTCTTGTTCTGGTTCCCGTCTTGTTCCGGATCCAGTCCTGTTCCGGTCCTGATCCAGTCCTGTTCTAGTTCCAGTCCAGCCGTTTAAATCCAAAACACGTAGGAGCTGAAGTCTGAATCCAGCGAATGGAGATATATGCCGAAAGGGCTAGATGGATTTTGTCTTTTAGAGGAAAGTGTTCTTCACCGTGCCGGCATAGCTGTTACTTTAAAGCACTTTGAATGTTTCCACCTAAGATGTTAAGTTTTCGTTTGTGATGTTAAGTTTTCATCCTTTTTGAAGTTCCAGTTAAATAAACCTTTAAGTTTTAGACAAGGTTTTGTGTTCTCTAGAAATTTTAGATTCGAAGTCAGATATATCACATAGGATTTAACGGAAAAATCTACAACATTATTAAGGATATCGAAATGAGTATCAAAATTTCATGATCATATAAAGATACTGAGCTGTAAAATGTGTTGTATTTCGGGGAAACTTTGGCACTTTAAAAGTTAGGACACTTATCAATCTTTACACGTTAACAACTGCATAATATAAACATTTTGATGAAATCTGTATCTGTACTGGCCAGTAACTTAAAATTTTGTAATACAAATTCATAATCCAAGTCGCTGTTCAAAGTCATTGAAAACAGTCAAGAGAATGTGGTTTTCAACGGAAATGCCTCTTGATAAACTATATAAACTACTACTACCTATCCAACAATGAATGTTTCTTACGCTCAAGTGTTCCTGCTTTTCGATTTGTGTGCAAATACCGCTAAACCCCGTAAACTATCACATCCATGACGTACCAAAAAAGAACTTTTTGGCCCGCGGTTAAAAATATTCGCCTGCTTCTAGTCTACCGTCCAAAATAATTGCAAAGACTGATTGAACTGCAAAGATTGATTAGATTAATGTAATAACAAAAGCAATATTTTGAATTTTTTATTAAAATCAATAAATAGTTTTATAAATTACACAAACTTGATCCAATAATGTTAAACTAATCCTGTACAATAGCTGGACCCATTAAAATTACTCTCATTAAAATCATTGTATTTCTTTTCTTTTCTTTTTAGCCCAAAGGGGCGTTAGAGCCAAAGCGCTATTAGTCTCAAAACAGCATTTTCCGTTGTTTCATTTTCTGCGTTGATTCACTTTTCAAACTGTTGTTACCAAATATTATCACGATGTATTATATTTAAAGAAACTAAATAATGAAGAATTTGGATGAATGCATGAATGTTTCTCGCATTGTGAAAAAACAACGGTACCTAGAGCCATCCAATTTTGAATAACGTAATCCTCCAATCGAACACAGGAACTTGGAAGCCTGAATTTTGAATTTCGAATTTATTTTACTATCTATTTCAAATTTTATAACACTGTAACGAATTTTTGATTAACAGACTCAAAGATATCGAAGCGAGCAAAGGCAACACGAAACGGCAAAAAACATTTTTATCTCCAACGAGGGAGACTGTCTGTCGGAAATTCTAAAGATATGTTATTTTTAAATATTTTGTGGTATTGCTGTTGAATTGAATTTTATATGATTTAAGTGCGAAGACCATGATATTTAATAAACAAAGCTAAGACACAAAATGCTCACTAAACGCCCTTTTGGGCCCAATATAAAAATCTGAAAGCGTTCAGAATTTTTTTAAAACTTGATTTATCAAACATCATTTTTTTTCGCACTTGTACCATATAAAATTCAACAGCAATATCACAAAATATACAAATATAGCCTAACTTTAGAATTCCAGATGATTATTAAGTTTACCATACTCTTTTTTTTTTTTTTTTTTTTTTTTTTTTTAATATTTGCTAAATTATTTCTTTGAAAATAACACATGGCGATAACATTGGGGGGCAACGTCATTTTACTTGAAAAGTGATGCGGACAAAATGGTGGTGCTCGAGACTATTAATTCACTTCTGGTAATAATAAAAAATTTTACAATAAAAATCCGAAAGGGTTCAGATTTGAACGGTGCCCAAAGAGGGCTCTTTTAGAGTTTTATCAGTGGTGATTATCGCTAGAGATGGTCCAGGTGGAGCAGCGAAACATTTTAGAGGATATTAGATGCGTAGACATTTAGACTAACATGGGAACGTTCTATATCATTTGTCTAAAGGCAAAGTGAAAAAAATATAAAACACCATTCTATAAAAATTGAATGTTTTCAATTAAATATATCATGAAAGTTCAAAAAATAATATTAAGAATTGCATGGATTGCTTTCTAATAGCTCAGTTTATTCATCTATAAGTGCCAGGATTCGATTGAAAAGAGCAATAGCTTACATTTTGCCGAATCGCAACAGACTCGAATGAAAAATGAATCAACGCATTACCAGTGGCTGACATTTAAAAAGAATCAACACACATTCATGTTTCAAGACTAATATTCCTTTTGGACAAATAAACATAAATAGTATTTAGATAAATCTGCAAGAGAACAGTTACACATTTCAGTGTCACTCTGGCGCTTAATAATGTTCAAATCATCGTGAACAAACCCCTACTGTAGTACTAACGATAAAAATCCAGGTTGTCTCTGGGAAAATTATATTACGCAAGAGCTACATATTCTGTGGTGGTATTTTGCTAAATTAGGGAGTTGGGTATCTTTTCCATCATTCAGGTGTCATTGAGTAATGCGCGTGGGAATCAAATTTCTGTAATTTGAAGTGAAGAATGACTCCCACATGTCATGGAAACGTTGTACGAAATTCCCTTTCAATGTAAGAAATACGAACGCAACAGGTATTTAAAAGGGAAAAGAAAAACCTTGCACGAATATTGGGTAACTTGGGCGTTTTGAGGCAAAATGGCATTGTTCCAATTCGGAAACGATAGGTAACACAAGGAATCTTTCCACGAATTATCATTTTAAGCAATAAAAATAAAATTTAAAAAAAGGTTTTTATACGATAAGCTTTTATTTAAAATAAATATGGTAGCTGATGCAATAAAAGGAGAACAAAAATTACCATACAGTAAAATACTAATTACAGATTAAAATTTCTTTTCACAGAATTCATCTATAATTTTATATATATATATGTATATTATATATTTCAAAATTGGGGACGGAACCGGTCGAGCTGTCACTTAAAGGGTGAAAAGTGGTTTAAACATGTTGCTTCTGTGCAGAGAATCATAAATAGCACTACATCTCAAGCCACTAAGTTCACGCCTTTTGAATTACTTTTTGGAATAAAGATGAAAAACAAAGACGATATCAAAATTAAGCAAATACTTGAAGAGGAACACTTCCAATCCACTTTACAAGAAAAAGAAAGATTACGCGACGAAGCGAAAAACAATATTCTCAGACTTCAAGAAGAAAATAGACGTCAATATAACAAACGCCGCAAATAGCCAAACTTATACAAAGTTGGTGATCAAGTCGCACTTCAACGTACTCAATTTGGAACTGGAATCAAACTCCGTCCCCGATTTTTTGGACCTTACAAAGTCACAGCTGTTAAGCCAAATGACCGCTTGCTCAAAGCCCTTGCCAATGATAAGTGCAATCATGCCTCCATACCACGATGAATTTCGTGGGCTTGCTCTTTATTAGAGAAGGGAGATTAAGGACAACAACAAAAGAACTTTTAGATATTGAAATCTTAAAATAATGAATACCAAATAGTTTTAAAAAATCGAGCCATTGTCAAAAATTCGTCAGAATTCAGAAATTAAGTTCCAATTTTCATATAAGTTTCATTGAAAAGATTTTTTTCTCGCTCTATTCCGTGTAGCAATAAAATTTTGATATGTTTAGTTTATTCCTTAAACGAAGATACGCGCGAAAAATCACTTAAACATAAAAAAAGAAAAAAGAAAAATTTCCATATCCAATTTTGAAAATTCCCTTCATCACACTGCATTGTCATTATGTCTACATAAAGTTTGAACTCCGTAGCTTATCATGAAATAGATTAAAAGTCGTTAGCGAAATTCCGACCACAGAAAAAATCACAAGTGAATTAAACAAAAGCTTGTAGTCAGTGTCAATTTGCTCAGCGGGACCGAAACTTAACTTTCACTTTAGGGCACCGAAAAATGTGTCTTCTTGCCCGTTGGCCCGAATTGCTTCTTTTGGCGTAGAAACTCTAATTTTGACGGTTTTAGTTTTTTTTTAAAGGTTTTTAACGGTATTTAGTGTTTTAGGTTTTTCTGTATTTTACACTTTTTAATTAAGATGTTTTCAGTTTCTCTGTATTTCTGCCATGCCGCGAAGTGAGAAATGAATTCATTGAATGAGAACAATATCTGTGATGAAATTCGATGAAATAGGCTTCAATGAAGTGCAGCAAAAATGGGTATAATTTAGTAGGCCTTACAAGGAAGTCATGTGGCGTCCATATAAGATTTTTTTTTATATACGATAAATTACGCTAGTAAAATAACATCAATCAATAAATGATAATTATATTACATTCAGTTTAGATTAAATTTGTAAAATATATAGTAGCGTGCGTACGGATTCGTAATAGATTGATTGCACACAGGTCCGCTGATAGGTTAATAAAATTTATTTAATCAATAGAAGCACTTCAGAGTTCAAGAATTTTCCTCAGAAATCTTCATGCAGGTGTTCAGAGTATCACACTTCTCGTACTTTAGTTCAGAGACCACCATTTTGAGAAAAAATTGTGCTTAACAAGGAATCAATTTTCTAGCATATATCAGAAAACAATTTCAATTCTAATGGACGTAATTCCAGAATCGAGTCCTTCTTGAACTAAAAACCACCAAAAGGGCGATAAAAAAGCCAAACGAAG